CTGTACCAGCTTCCTAATGGCTGGCTTGCCAGGTCAATGAGTTGTGTCATGGGTCCCTGTACGCGGCACTTCCATTGCTGCAGGTCCCTCCATTCGCCACACTACCTGCCATGTGGCACTTTCAGGTCTCCTCACACTGCTTGGTGGGGTTCCAATTTTTTGTTCATTGGGTGCTGTAATGAGCCCTCCCATTGCTGCTGCCATCCACTCGCCACACTGTTGGCTTCCATCGACTCTGGTATTTATAGGCCCCGTGACTCGCCCAAATGAGTGAAGTGTGCGGGTGATTACTAAGATCGACGGCACTCATCTGCATGTAATACTGACTGTCAGTATTATAATTTCTCTTCCACCAGCAGACTCCAAGGGCATTTTAAATTAAAGGTCTTACAGTGTTCTGCACTAAATATAAAGGCTTCTCTGAAAGGCTAGAAACATCACACTTTTATAAGTCTTAATTCGCAGCGATTATATGTCGCATCGAGAATCGAAAAATTTTATTCCTCGAACTTCGCCCCGAATCATGCTCGAATTGAATTATTGAAATACACTTCGCTCATGTCTCTAGTTAGGATTCTTTGTCTTGCAATTTGGTTTCAATTCCTTGACTTGACTATCCCACTGGAAACCCAACTTCTGGAAGGTTTTCCAACTGTGCTTCAGTCTTTTCCTCTTTAGTAACAAATTATACGTGCCCAAACAAGAAAGCATTTGACCCCTTGATTGTTACTGTTTGGTCTCCTGGGTATCTTGATGATATCTGGCGCTGACATTGAATGTTTGGATTGCACTTTAACTAGCCAGTAATTTGAGAACAATAACATTATCATCAATAATTCAGCACATGAAAAACAGTGTAGTTTAAAGTGCATTCTCAAAATAAAAATCAGTTAGCTTGATGTCCCAGTTCTGTAGGGATGGTTGTGATATCTATACTCTTAGGCACTCTCCCTGTGCGCCAAAATTTAACCAACTCTCAGGACAACACTCCTGAGCACAGACTAATTACAATCTGATGTATCAGAGTCACTGGCTCACAAAAATAAGTCTTAGCATTCCTTCATAATTCTATTGGTAAAGGAGGAATTCACAGATTCAAATGCACCATCTTTTTTGATCCCTGAAGAAGGCTTTTGCAAACATACTATACTCAATCAAAGGGTCTGTGTAGTGTTGAGGTGTTTTATTATACCCCCCCCCCCCCCCCCCTTCGGTGGACACTTTTCAACAGCAATTATTCTAACCATGTCAATATTTCCATATGACAGGGTTTTACAATCTGACAACCAACATTTTATTGAGCAGAATTATAATTTTGGTTTGATAGAAAGCAAATATGAGCTTAAATATATGTATGTTTCTCTTAGAAGGCATAATATGACCCTATCATTTCTCTGCACCTGGTAATATCGACATGTTTGGTGTCTAATTGTAATTTTTTTATTTGGTAGGGTAATCACATTTTATGATTTTAACACTATCATAGCAAGAACTGTGGATTATGAATAGCGTTTGGCTCTAGTAGTTCAATCTCAGTAAAAAAAACAGACTTGCAGAGATATTTTTGCTTCTAGACAGTTTCACAACTGGCTTACAGCAGTCATTTATGGCCAGACCCAAAAAAGTCTTTTGCAGATCATGAGATAAGTAGTTTGATGTGTCTACATTGCTTTCCTGCATTCATTTTCTTTATGATGTGCTCTGTGCTAAAATGGAATATTTACTAAAACTGGTGCACACAGATTCTGGCGCATCTGTGCATAGTAACCAATCAGCTTCTAACCTCAGCTTAATTAAACTTTTAGAATAAAACCGGGAATCTGATTAGTTACTATGCACAGCTGCACCAGATTCTGTGTCCACCAGTTTTAGTAAATCTTCCTCAATGTGTCTGAAGCCACACTGAAATGTGTTACCTCCCATGAATTTCTAGCACACACATGAAATTTAATCTGTCACTGACCTGCACATTTTGAAGAAATGAACATGCCACTCTTTTGAAATATGACTTTCCTATCCTCTTCACACAGTTTGGGGGTCATCATTCAGAAAGATGATTATGAGAATTATGATATTCTTCAGGATTTTCTTTAGATGAGATATGTAGTAGTCTTTTAATCTTTAGTACATAATAGATACGGTTGAAAAAAAAGTACTGCACACCATTATTGTTCCTTTTTTATTTATTTATATAGCAAGACTTGTAAAAGATTGAATACCATTTCTATCTTTACTACTCTAAATGCATGTTAGATAAGTGTATATAAATGTAGTTCTGGGTGTTCTGTTTCAAGTACCACTGTATGTATTGATATACCTCCTTTAGACCTCAGTCTAGCCAGCCATTATGTTTACCTGCGGAATAAGTACCCTCCACAGACAGCTCAACTCTCCAATAAGACATGGTAGTTTAATCCATCATAGTCTTACTTGTTAAAATAAAGTACATAGAGTGTTCACCAGTCATTTAGAACAGTAGTCTCCAAATTGTGGCTCGGGGGCTAAATGCGGCCCTTTGCTGGCTTTTATCTGGCCCTTGGGACACTCTTTAATTCACTGACATCAATAAAAGGCATAATTCTTCCTAATGACACCAACAATGGGGCACAATTCCTAGTAGTAACATAAATGATGGGGCATAGTTCCTCCCAATGACACCTACAATGGGGCCCAATGACATCAATAAAGGGGCACAATATCTTCCAATGACACCAATGATGAGGTGTGCAATTCCTCCCACTATCACACAATGATAAGGGATTGTTTACTCCCACTGATGCTGGGATATTTTTGTATTCCCGTTGGCCACAGTCCAGCCCCCCTAAAGACCGGAGGACAGTAAACTGGACTGGCCCTTTGTTTAAAAAGTTTGGAGACCCCGGATTTACAGTGTAAAGAGAGAATAGTCTTCTAGGGCCTGTGCCCACTTTGAAATCTGATAACTTAGTGAGAGCACATAAAATAGACAGGAGGGGTAATTCTAAACCCAAATCATAGGATTTGGAGTATGCCTTTTACAGACATTAAAACAGCAAGTTGTAGTTTCACTGGATTGCTATCAGATGTCACCACCAAGGTGTTTGTACATAAAATTCAATGCAACAGTGATGGATACACGATAAGTGTTTCAGAACTGTGAGCAAAATATTGTTTTCCCTTTTATTAAACAATGTTTTTTAAACCAATCTTTTTTTTGTTGTAAATCTATATCTATATAAATAGTGATAGTTAATACTTCTGGGAATTACATGGCAGACATAATAGCATGTTTATTTATGGTACTTATATAGCACTGTCAATTTACGCTTTACATATATATTGTACATTCACATCAGTCCCTAACCCTCAAGGGGCGTACAATCTAAGTTCCCTAACTTTTATTCGTACATACACATACTAGGGCCTCTTTAGAAAGGATCCAATTAACCTATCAGCATGTCTTTGGAGTGTGGGGGAGGAAACCGGAGTACCCAGAGGAAACCCACACAGGCACAGGGAGAACATGCCAACTCCAGGCAGGTGGTGCCATGGCTGGGATTTAAACCAACAACTCTAGTACTGCCAGGTAGAAGTGCTAACCATTTAGCCACTGTGCTGCCTAAACTGCCTTGTTTTACATATCACATATTTTAAAATTAGATGTCTAGATTTCCATTATGTCAAATCACAACTGACTTTTTGAGCCTATGACTTTACCTTGTTGAGTCATTCTATGGATTTGAGAGCATTCAGTTATCCTCTATAGGCAGTATAGTTAAAATGTTTGTCACGTCTTTCTACTACAATGCCACTTGGAATATAATTTTTTTTATGCATGTATTTATTTTTAATGACTGTATTAGATGAAGAAAATACAAAATTGAGCCTACACTGCTACAATGAATGTTTTCCTTTAAAAGATTACTAAAACGATAAGCTGTAGGCAAGCAGGATTTACTTCTCAAAGGCACACCCAGCTTGTTGTATATCTTGATGTCAAGGCATTAGTGTGCACATCAAGTGATTAATGTGTCTCAAACTCTGTCCAAATATTTAAAAAAGATAACTGCAGCTAAATTCATATTCAGAATTAACTCTTATCAGGAAAGCTATTTTTAGAACCTTCGCACATTTATCCTTTATCGAAAATCCCAAAGCCACACAATTTTATCAGGTATAAAAAAGCCCTTGTTTGCAGTGATTCAGCTTCCAGCCTTTCAGAAATCAGAATTAAAGCTAAAGTTCAAGGTTACTAAGCCTTAACTACTGTGCATAGAACAATGGAATGATTATGAATGAGTGTCAGAGACAATCTACAGCAATCTACAATCTACAGCATTTTAGGCAAATTAGTTTAAAGGTACACGCCTTTAACTCACTCACAGGACAGAGTCTACCTTCTGAGGAACTGTGATTTGTAGACTGGGAGTTGTCTGCTTTGAAAATGCCTACCACCATCATTACTTTCTGCACAAATACAAGTCAAAAGTTCCCAGGTCCTAGGTACCACCTCCTGTGGCCCCAGGGAGTTTGAACAAAGAGAATCATGTCACTACAGCCTGCCGTCACACAGGAAGCACTCTGAAAAACCTGCTGATTCTTGCTAAAATTGATTTTATAAACATAGTATAAGTTAAATTTAGTAAACTTAAGTTGAGTTTAGTGCTTCTGTTTAACCCCTTCCCCTCTCACACCTGTTCACACCCTATAGACGAGCAATGTTTACATTTCTGCTATAGACCCATCTATTTGGCAATAACTTTGTCATTACTTAACCACTTAAGAACCGCCCTATAGCAGATATACCGCTACAGGGCGGCACCTGTGAGCAGAATCACGTGCAGGGGCGGAATGACAACTCATGGGGCCCCCGGGCAATAGGGGATCATGGGGCCCCTGTGTCCTTGCCCAAACTCAAAAAAGCCTATGAAAAAGGTAACAGGGGCATCTCATGGGGCCCCCTACTAACCCCGGCCCTCGGGCAGTGCCCGAGTTTCCAAATGGTAAGTCCGCCCCTGATCACGTGTATACAGGGGTGGACTGACCATTTGGAAACTCGGCACTGCCCGAGGGCCCAGGGTCAGTAGGGGGCCCCATGAGATGCCCCTGGTACCTTTTTCATAGGCTTTTTTGAGTTTGGGCAAGGACACAGGGGCCCCATGATCCCCTATTGCCCGGGGGCCCCATGAGTTGTCAGTCTGCCCCTGTGTGTATAAACATGATTTTGCATTTCCAGGTAGGGGGCGCATGCGAGCTGTGTGCACACCCTACCCGAGCCTCCATTTGCAGCCCCGGATGTCAATCACCAGGTCCTGGCCAGTAATTACCCACCAGCGCCCAGTGATTACCAGTCATCTCTGAGGAGGAGGAAGATTGTTTTGTTTATAAACAATCCTCCTCCCTGTCAGCTCAAGCACACTGCTCGGGATGGCTGTGCACAGTACAGCCATCTCAATCAGTGTGCTTACAGTGAAGAACCCCCCCCCCTAGTAAAACACTCCCAGCACACAGTTAACCCTTTTATCGCCCCTCATATTAACCCCTTCCTGCCCAGTGCCATTAGTACAGTGTCACCGTTTTTTTTTTTAGCACAGATCACTGTCTTGGTGTCACTGGGGTGTCAGTGACACCAAGTTAGTTCCTCCCCAGTGTCAGAATGTCCCACTAAAAGTCACTGATTGCTGCCATTACTAGTAGAAAAAATAAAATCCCATTAGCAATACCGCCATTTGTAAATGCTATAACTTCAACGTAAACCAAGTAATTTACAAAAATTCGGATTTTTTTTTTTAGCAAAGACATGTTGCTGAATACATTTTGGCCTAAATTTATGACGAAATTTTATTTTTTTTTTTTTTTTACTGGACGTGTTTAGTAGTAAAAAGTCCAAAATATTGTTTTTTTCTCAAAATTGTTGGTCTTTTGTTGCTTATAGCGCAAAAAAATAAAAAATGCACAGGTGATCAAATACCACAAAAGAAATCTCAATTCATGGGAGAAAAAGGACGTAATTTTTCATTTGGGTCCAGCGTTGCATGACCACGCAATTGTCAGTTAAAGTAACGCAGCACTGTAACGCAAAAAATGGCCTGGTCATGAATGGGGGGTAAATCCTCAAGAGGGCAAGTGGTTAAGATAACAAGTCACTCAAAAACAAGTTTTGGTCAGTTTTTCCACCAAAACTTCGCAAATGATCCGGTGTGGGGATCAATCGCATTCAATAGCGTGCAGCAACAGACCTGAAGAAGGGAGAACCCTTTCTCCCGAAACACGTTGAATAGATATAGTTGTTGTTATTCTCACTAAATGTCTCCTAATCTACCATCATCTTGCATTTTTCTGTACATCAGGTGCCCCTTCTCTCCTATTATTCCAAATTATTATAACAAGGTAATACATATATTGTTTTTTTAGGACAAACAATGCTTTCTTTTCATGATATTGTCTGGCAACACTGATTTTTTTTTCCGCAAAACCTTAGACAACAAAACACAACAAATTGAAACATATGCACTTTTTTTGGTAGTTTAGGCAGTGTTAGTTTAAAAATAAATAGTTCTAGTACAGACACAAATTTAGCATTTTATTCCGTAATGTGTCCTGTTTAAAATGCTAATAAAATGAAGATGCTGGTTCAAAGCCTTGCAAATTTATTTACAAATGAAATAAAGGGTTTTTTTTTTTTTTTTCAATTTTTCACTTTTTTATATAGCAAATGTGAAAATATATCTTAAATCTGTAAAAATATTAACAAACAAAACTAAAAAGTTTAAATATTAATAGTTAATAAAACTGAACAACAATGAAAAAAATCAGCAGGAATATAATAGTTGAAGCGATAAGGAGTATAAGGCATTAATTAGGACTGATTAGAGTAAACTAAAGGGCAATAAAGGGTAAAACAGAGGAACATTTTATTTAAAAAAAAACAAAAACCCTGTTTTTTTATTTATCAGAATAATTGACATCATTTGTAGATCTAAGTTCATCCCTTTGATCTGCAGACAAAATGAACAGAATGATACTAAAGTAGCAATAGGTTATTTTGTATCTTTGTATATTTGCTCTGAACAAGTGTTATTTATAAACACTGGTTCAGATTGTTTTTTTTTTAAAGCCACAGTCTTGGGCACCTTCTCTGAGTATACAGTAATCCTGGAGTTGATTAGTAAAAGCTGAATACTGGGAGATCGGTCCCAGAAGCAAGGCATAGAGACTGGATATGCTACACACGTTATGCGCACAATGATGTTTTTGTTTTGGGCATGTCTAGCATGCCCAAAGTCTGCAACTAGGTAAAGAAAGTTAACTTTTTTCTAATTTGACCATTGACCTTAAAGCAGGGGTATCCAGCTGTTGCGAGCCTACAAGTCCCATCATGCCTCTGCCCTTGGGAGTCATGCTTGTAACTGTCAATCTTGCACTGCCTCATGGGACTTGTAGTTTGGCAACAGCTGGAGGGCTGCAAGTTTGACATCCATGCCTTACAGGAAGATCCTCCTGGGAACCTGAATAGGTTCAATGATGCTATACCTGTATGCAGACTCCCGCTGCAGTTGGGGTTCATATGCTATGTGCATCCTCACTATTCTATCTGAATGTTCTAAATAATAGAAAAGCAAGTCCTTCCTTGCCATCTACACATCATCCGTTATGAGGGCAAACACCAACAACGTACACATTGGGTGGGAGGTCTTGTCATTTAAAATCAACTCGCACCATCTCCAAAAGTACTATAAACCACAAAACAATTTTCCATTTTAAAAAAAAGCAATTTTATGTTGTTTGATCCAGCATGTGGATGAATGAACTGGGAAGTCTTCCTCTTTGACTGGTTTGACCCTCTCCCTTGTCATACATTATATGGGATACATTTAAAAGGATTCTCCTTTGTTGGTTCTATTTCATGGGCTTCGATCATCACTTTTAGGTGGATATATTCTTTTGATTTTCTTATGAAGGGGTGAACCGATGGGGGCTTTTTAGTTCCTGATCTACCGTACTTTCTTGATCATGATATCCTTGATGATATTTACATGGTGGTTACTTTCCTTGTCAATGGGTGGTGCTTTTATTCTATCTTTTTATATTTAGTGTACCAATAAATAAATAATTTGCGTTAGTAATGTGTATAAATATATAAATATATATAAAGAAATCATCAAATCATAAGTCCAAAAAATATATATATATATGCCAATACCACAAAAAAAAATATATAAAAAAACTTTTAAGTGCAAAAAACTTTTGTGCAAAAAAAGTGTCTAAATATGAAAAATTTCACCAAAAAACCTTGATAATATAATGGCAGATCATCCATAAATATATCTTCAGAAACGGAAACTCTGCAACACACCGATCCTCATCGATCGAAATAACAGGATGAAAAACTTTGTAGTTAATCGAAAATCCACTTCTCCAATAGATAAAGGACCACCTTCAAACGTATCCATGGGGGGAAATGCCAAGCACTCGAGAGAAACAGAAAGACTTCATGGTGCAATATTATAAAAACCAATTCCTTTATTAGGTACTCATTGCACTTACTCAAGAGGTGTCCCAGCCGACACCAGCATCAACAGCATAACACAGCAATCACATAAACGAGCCTGGCTACTCAGCACATGCGCAGTAGCTGGCAGCCAAAAACGTAATGACGTCACATCAATCAAGCTCCGCCCTATGCGTTTCGTCATCGACGTCCTCACGGAGCGAGTAAGTGCAATGAGTACCTAATAAAGGAATTGGTTTTTATAATATTGCACCATGAAGTCTTTCTGTTTCTCTTGAGTGCTTGGCATTTCCCCCCATGGATACGTTTGAAGGTGGTCCTTTATCTATTGGAGAAGTGGATTTTCGATTAACTACAAAGTTTTTCATCCTGTTATTTCGATCGATGAGGATCGGTGTGTTGCAGAGTTTCCGTTTCTGAAGATATATTTATGGATGATCTGCCATTATATTATCAAGGTTTTTTGGTGAAATTTTTCATATTTAGACACTTTTTTTGCACAAAAGTTTTTTGCACTTAAAGGTTTTTTTATATATTTTTTTTGTGGTATTGGCATATATATATTTTTTGGACTTATGATTTGATGATTTCTTTATATATATTTATACACATTTACTAGCGCAAATTATTTATTTATTGGTACACTTTATATATGGTGATTTTTTGCAGCTGGTACACTATTAGTAAGTTATATAATTTTGACCACAGGCGCTATTATTAATTTTTCTTATCTTTTATATTTATTCAGTTTGGCTACATATTATTAAAATGGATCCTGAAGAAGCCCTTTTTGGGTGAAACGTGTTGATCCACTGGCTGTTTGTCTCTTCATTTAATTGAAAGGAGCCGATATGGATTGTCTCTATACAATTTAAGATATTCTTTTAATTTGTGTCAATAAAACAGTTTAAATACTATATATTTGGGTTCCTGAGAATGTTAGAGCACCTTAAAAGAACTAATTTCTCCATGATTCCCTTTCCCCCTGCACCTTTTGGGGGCGGATTATGGAAAATTCTTTTGTGGTTTATGGGGAACATCAACAAGATAAATGTTAGATACAGGGAAACCCAATATCCTTAAATTGTATCTATACTCATAACTTTTTTAAAGGATAAGTTCACCTTTGGAAACATGTTTCAAGTTCTACCCGTTTTTAAGGTGGAACATGTAACATGTTTGTCTGCATGAGCATGTCAGGCTCCTGCAGACAAAAATAATATATGCACATTTTTTTACCTGCAAACAAATGTGCATTTATTATTTTCGTCAAAAAGGTGAACTTATCTTTTAAGTTGTGGATAGAATTGAGAACGGTTAGAACAGTGTCAGGTTTTACTGCTATTTGGGGCTCTGTGAGTGAGATTTTTTTCTTTCTGTTGTGTAAACAACCCTTAACCAGAAGTGATGGGAGATCTGCAGTAGGGAAATAGACAACGATGAAAAGTTGAGGTTCCAGCATTCCCCTACTTATCTTACAAAACACATTTTTACTTCTATCTATGTTGCGGTTAAAAAGATAACGTCCTATTTTGGGGGACAACTGTTTTGGCGGTTTTTCTACCGCACTTATTCACTTGGTTCTATCTAAGATTATAAATGTAATAAGTGATTACAACCTTTTGTCTATACATGAATTTAGCCAATCCTGATGTGACTAATACCAATAAAGTTAATACCAAATAATAACAACAGTGCAAAAAATAAAGATCTAATTTATTTACACAGAAAAGAAGATTGCTATTAATCAAATACAACAAAACATAATGTAGCCGGTATAATCTTAAAAGTAGTAATATTACAATGCAAATACAGAATGTTACCAATACAAAGAGATGACTACAGGAAAGAAAGTTACAGAAAAAAAACATAGAATAATACATTATGCAGACATCCTGATGACTGGGCTTCCAAAGAGGCAAGGGACAAAGAGATGTTGGGGGTTTCGCTTTGGTGTTATATACTGTTTGCAAAAGACCACCCCTAGACTCACCCTCCCAAGTAAATTTACACCTTTCCACATATCTTAACCTCCAATGGGTGGGCTCAGAACACTGGTCAGTTTAGTTAAAGGAAAACAGGAATTCCCAGCTGCCTTCCTTCCCCCTCACCTCAATTGAGTCTTTTGAAGTGGCATCCCCCACAGAGCTATTTGTCACTTTATTACAGCAGTTCTCAAAATGTCCAGTTCCTAGAACTTCTTTAGAACTGAGACTTAGATACCTATCAAAAGTTCACAATAATGTTCATGAAGGTAAAAATAATTATAGGCCAAAAATAGTCATTACACAACCTATTCACTAGAGAAGGAGTGAAGGAATCTCTTCAACGGAACCTCCAACTGCAGTAAAACCTGATAAGCGTTCTAATCCTTCACCACCTATCCAAAAAAGAAAAAAAATGTTTGCATGTAGATACACTTTACTTGTCACCTATACCTCTACCTATCACCCATACCTTTACTTATTACATACCTGGACAATTCAAAATGGTTAAAAAATAATAATCAACAGGGATTTCCTTCATTAAAAACTATGTAAAAAAAATTACAATCAAAGATACAGGCAGCTGAAATGACATTCAAATATTGACTTTTCCTGGAAAAGTCAAGCTTGACCTTATGGCCTCTCACCTCTTAAGTCTTCATGTTGGTCAGGAAGAACACCCAAAACACAACCAAACCAACCAAAAGGGAGGAACAAGAGCTAGCATGACCCACATACACTTTTACAGGAAAAGTTGATATTTGCATATACCTTCAACTGCCTATATTTCTCAATCTAGTAGTCATTTTGACATGCAGTTTTCATGAAAGCTAACAATGGCTAAAACATTTATCACAGTTGATTTCCCCAACATTGTGACAGGTTAACTAATCTATTACTATAGTCATTTATTTCTTATAATACTTTAACACTGACAGTAACACTTTATAAACAGGCTAATGAACACATTTATGAACTTAGATATATTTATTTATTTATACCCTACATTTTGTAACCACTGATTTCACTCACAGCCAAATCATCAATCAAGTAAAAGTCACACCTAAAATCATAATCAGGCAATCTGCATAATTTTAAAAGTAAAGCACCCTGAAGGAAAATATTAAGTATTTAAATAAAGTACAAACTGTACAACTTAATCTTGTATCTGTTGTAGTTAGTGTAGGACTAATGAGAAGGTGATCATCATGGTGTGTAACTGGTCCATTTATTATTACATGTCATGGGGAGCATTACATTTTATTATTGTGTTAATCAATTTGTGTTTCAGTGTGTTGTATGTTCCCAGAGTTATTTCCATAATGTATCACCCTGAAAGTGTATGTCTGGGCAAAATAAAAAAAAAAGAAAAAACATAAACAGTACATGTCTGCAATTCATACACATTTTCTCATGTTTTATCCCTTTAAAGATTCTGCAAGTACAGAAAAATACCCGTTGACTCTTGCAGAACTGAGTTAACAACCATACTTGAAATTAGATAGCAGAGTGCATAGGACACAAGGCAGTCCTGGATTTCTGACCGGTCAATAGCTTATTTCCTGCACCTATCATACAGATATAGCAACACTCTTTTTTATGGTACATTTAAAACCCCCCAAAAGATGCAAATAAAATAAGTTTAGCATTGATGCAATGTGGTAATACATACCTTTCCACTACAACCGCATGTATGGTGAATTGTGGTAGCGCCCATTACTGCAACACACCCATATTGATAGATTTGAATAAGCCTTTAACATGTATGTAAACTCTGTCAATGATCTATGTTATGCACCGCTTTTTGGTGCTTTTCAATGCACATCAATGCACTAAGGCAACACACTTCATAAGTGCATGTGTTGCAGCACATCACAATGGATTGAAACACTTTACTATGCGTTGTAGAGTGTTGCATTGGAAAAGTAGTGCTTATCCTCTTTTTACTCCACCCCAGGGGCGGACTGACCATTTAGAAACTCGGGCACTGCCCGTGAGCCCGGGGTCAGTAGGGGGCCCCATGAGATGCCTCTGGTACCTTTTTCATAGGCTTATTTGAGTTTGGGCAAAGACACAGGGGCCCCATGATCCCCTATTGCCCAGGGGCCCCATGAGTTGTCAGTCCGCCCCTGCTCCACCCTAGTGTGTTGGTGCTTTTCAATGCACACCAAGGCAACACACCTTTAAATGCACATGTGTTGCAGCACATTAGAATGGATTGAAACACATTACTGTGTTTGGTGGAGCGTTATGCTGGAAAAGTAGTTCTTGTCTTCACTTTACTCTACCCTAGAGAGTTGGTGCAGCACACACTAACACATACACATTAACTGACTGCAAGAGACTGCCTAGGTGTGATCAAGCCACAAGCCTTTACAAACTTAACGCATGCCACCTGAAATCACCTAACTTTTTTGAGCAGCAAGCTAACAAAAAGATAAAGACTTTCAAATAAAATTGCTCTAATAATCAAAACTGGATGAGGCTCATAAACAAAGATAAAATACAGCCAACCCACCACATTAATTGATGTAATTCAGTTTGGATGATTCAGCAGGCAATATGATGTCTTTGCTTAATTAAGAATTAATTTGAAATGTTTTCATACAGCCAACAGTCAAGCATAGAGATAATGCCAGTAGAAGTGCTTATGTTTGCTGGTACCAACACTTTATGAATACAAATGATTTTTGGTTTATATATATTTGGTTTATGTATATTGGTATAAGAACTATGTATTAATTACACAGCTGTGTACACTTTGCACAACTGTAAAGAGGTTATGATGTCAGATTTCAAATAAGGCCTGGCTGTTATATGAAGAACAATGAAATAATAGCTTACAGATGTGGAAATTCCATTGAATACAGAGTTTGTGTCATTTCGTTAGTCATCAAATACTCCCCAAAGTCATAGTTAAGGCACTAAACCAAAAGCAGAAAAAAGAATTCATGTACTAAAATTGGAATGCAGTTGTTATCATATTGGGGACAATTGGAGCTTTCTGACCTTTATCTCTGTGTAGCGGCACTGCCTCAGTTGAAGTGCCACTAGTTTAAATCTAATGAATATCTAGGCTTTAGCCAGTCTAAGCCCTAATTTTTGATTTCCGCATACATTGGGTTTTCCCTACGCCTAGGGCATTGTTTTCTTCTGTCTGTTCATGTAGGAATGTTCTCCAGCAGTAAGAGTGAGAAGACGCAAAGTTATGCGCTATGAATATTTCGCCTTAGCCGATCACTACAGAGGCTATTGCCAGTAATGTCAGCTGGGGGAATGAGATAAATATTCTGGTAGCTCTTCTAGAAGAGTTTTTTGCCTCCAAGACTGACTGGAGAGGATGTGAGTCCAGAAACCCAATCTTTGCCTCCCATGCTTTTTCTACAAAGGAGGTCAGTTATATTTTTGCTTCACTTGCCTGCTTCCTAGAAAGGCTTCATAAGCTTCAGTATGGGAATGGGAAATTGTCCTATGTTAGTCTTTACTGATTTCAGCTTAAAGGTGTACATTGAAAAATTGCTGTTCCAAAGACACCCATGGCCTCTGAAAGAAGATGAAGTTACTTTTATTTGAGTGGGTGGATTATTATTCCCCTCCTCCCCTGGACACTGAGCCATTAAGCTTGCAAGGAAAGATTCACAGTGTTGGTGTCGGTTATTCGGTCACAACTGGTGGGTCATTAAGCATTTTAGAAGGCTAGGAAGGCTCATTAAAATCAACAGCTCCTTAAGGGGCCATTTACTTTAGAATAAACATGGATACACACTGAATACTAGTGCTACTTGATGAGTAAAATAACATTAGGGTCATTTCTGAGCATGCCAAGAACCATAGGTGAACTTTTATGTGTTTCCATAATTGACACAACACAGCTGAAAGCCAAATAACATGGCATCACATAAACAGAAAATGAGACATTTGATCCAGGGTGCAAACGGAGGAGAATCTTAAGAAATAATTCTGCTTACTAGTAAATAGACAGCTAGATATATCTTAGCAACTGTGTAATCTTACAGCTCTGTCTTAGATCTCACATTGTTTCCACATCTAAAAAACAATAGTTAAAGCCGAGCTTTGAGCACAAGTCTTTATATGTAAAGGTCAGTGTGGAGTCAGTATTTCCAGGTGAAAACAAAGTAAAGAATTCAAGATAGAAAATTAAATAGCCAAAACAATAAATTTAATGTAAGGTAACATTCTTATTGCCTGCAAATATGCATACTACCAGTTTTTCCTAAACTTTATACCTCAATTAAAAGCTTTCAAATTCCTGAGTGCCACATGTACTATTAAAAATCACTACCTCCAACCTACAATGCCGGCATCCAGCTAAGATACTATTTTCTTCAGAAATAAAGTAGAACTAATCTCTCTCAATCAACATTAACTAATGCTAATCCCTAGGCTGTTAGCATTAGTAAATAGATAGGAATGTACACTATATTTTCTTGTTTTAACTTTTTTTTTTTACATTTCTTCAGTCACTTCCTGGTTTCTGGCCTAGGTCAAAATGATGTCATACATACCATGTGTCTTCATAGGCATTTTATTTCCTTTCATCTGTAAGAGGGGATGAGGGGCTCTCTCTCAGCTAAGCACATCCTCTTGCCTGCCTGCATGCTTGAACTAAGGGCAGATGAATTCCGGGATGCAAATGTTACATGAATCATCTTCCCTTCCTCAAGATGACCATGGCTAGAAATGCATGGGAGAATTTACTTTGAATATTAAAAATGATTTAAATAGCTTTCTCATTTCGTGGTGCTCAGATACGGTTCAGTTCTGCTTTAACACTGGAACATACAGTATTGAAAGTGTAATACTACATATAGGTAAAGTGTAGTGGTCTCAAAACTGTGGACCTGAGGCCAGATACGGCCCTTTGCTTGCCTTTATCCAGCCCTTGAGGCATTATTCCTGCCACTGACACCAACAATGGGGTATCATTTCTGCCACTGACAGCAGCATTGGAGCACTATTCCTTCGACTGACATTAATGATGGGGCATAATTCCTTCCACTGAGAACAAAAATGGGGCACTATTCTTCCCACTGACATCAACTATTTCTCCCCCAACACCAAAGATCAGCCATTGTTTACTCCCACTGGACACAGTAAACTGCCCCTTTCATTAGAAAGTTTGAAGACCCCTGCTGTAGACCAAATTTCTGGACATACTGTCCATCAAAAAAAGAGGACTTTTAAGGTATGGATGTCTCTAATGAGATCAAGGACTTCACAAATGACAAATATTTATCTAAAATGTATTAAATTGTATTACAAACGTAATAAAAATAATTATTTAAAACCAGTGTATAGATCACGTTTATCTCCACAACAACCATATGTTTTCATCTGTCTATCCACCTATAAAGTATCAAAACTTTGATTATGGCCAGGGGCGGACTGACAACTCATAGGGCCCCTGGGCAATAGGGGATCATAGGGCCCCTGTGTCCTCGCCCACACCCAAAAAAGCCTATTAAAAAGCCAATGAAAGGTACCAGGGGCATCTCATGGGGCCCCCTACTGACCCCGGGTCCTCGGGCATTGCCCTAGTGCTCGAATGGTCAGTCTGCCCCTGATTATGGCATATTAATATATCAATATGAATATCAGACTTGCAGATGTTTTGAAGCTGAACGTTTGGCAGATAAACTCCTTAAGTTTATGCTTCCTTAAGCAGCATAGGATTTTTTGACATAGGGGTAGAGTTACTAAAACCGGAGCACTCAGAATCTGGTGCAGCTGTGCATTGTAGCCAATCAACTTCTAACTTCAGCTTGTTCAGTTAAGCATGGCAATAATACCTGGAAGCTGATTGGTTTCTATGCAGAGAGGCACCAGATTTTGCATTCTCCAGTTTTAGTAAATAACCCCCACTGTCAAGTCTGACATTTGCATTAATATATCAGCATGCCATAATCAAAGTTCTGATACTTTGTGGGTGAAAAGGCAGATGAGAACACAAGGATGTTGTCTAAATAAACATGATCTATACCATGATCCTAATTATTTAATTTTGATTTGTTTATAATAAAATGTGATACATTTTTAGATACATACAGTATGTAGTTTTTTGTGCATTTCTTATGTCATCAAAGACATACACGCACCCTAAAAGTCCTCTTGTTTTTGGATGGAATGTATGTCCAGAAACTTGTTTGGGATGTGGTTCATGGATCATTTTAGGATGGTAGAGCTTTCCTTGTGTTAATATTGCCTCCTATCAGGCTCAGAGTGGCCATAGGGCACACTGGGTATTTGCCTGTGGGGCTGGGGCCGAGGGGCCGGATGTCTTAACAAGAGCTGGATAATGTGACATACAGAACCGAGCATACAGAACCGACAGGTCTGACAGTTGCCGGTCAGATGTAAACAATTGGGCAGAGCTAGCGGTGAAATTGTCGGTGACGTCAAAAACTGTTGTTTTGTTTTTTGTTCAAGTAAAGGAATTTTTCAAGACTGGTCTCTTTATTTTTTACTGAATTTAACCCTTTAGTGAATGGATACGGGTACAAGTACCCCTAACTCATTCACATGGGGTGGGCAGCATCAGGGTGCCCCCTTATTTTAAGGGGTACACTGATGCTGATGACCCCCCTGACCGCAGACCCCCACAACCAATGGGCCAGGGTTGTGGGGAAGAGGCCCTTTTCCCCATGCTGATGGCACGTGGCCTGGTAAGCCGTATGGAGGGGGCACTTGATCATCCCCCCCTTTTCTGCACTTCCAGGTCTGCACTCAGGAAAAGGGTCTGGTAGGAATTTAGGAGGGAACCCACACTCTCCTCACCATTTTTGGGGGATGTGGGTACCCTTTAAATGTCCTACCAGGCCTAAAGGGCCTAGTATGGCTTTTAAGGGGAACCCTATGCACTTTTCCCCCCTATTTTTGGGAGGTGGGGTTCTCCTTAAAATTCTTACCTGGCTTAAAGGGCCTGGTATGGCTTTTAGGGGAAACGCATTCACTTTTTAAAAAGAAAAATTTACTGTGGGGGTCCCTCCTAACCTTCCTACCAGACATAAAGAGTCTAGTTTGGATTGGGGGGGCACGCTGTTTTTTTTTTTTTTTTTTTATAAAAATTAAATAAAAAAAAATGTCAGCAGGTTCTATACATTGTACAGATGTGTGAAGGTAGTTTAAGGGGACCCCCCCAGGCATGATATTTAAAGGATTTTTTCTTTTTTTTTTTAAACTTTAAGC